AAGTGAACAATAGGTAAAATAAATCATAAATTTAACACGAAAGATGAACAATCAATCGAACATAAGTACTAAGGAAACTCACATAATCCTACTAATGAAATCAAAACATATTAACGAGGCTTCATCTACATAACGCAAAAGTAAAGGTTTTTACACCATAATCAGTAAACTAAAGCAGAAAGCATCACCAAAAGATTGCGAGATATGATCATCAAGTAAACCCGAAGTGAAATCTCGATGCAAATAGTACTTGAATCTTCAAATCCTTGCTTAAATCGACTCTCTAACTTCGAAATCAACCCTAAAGGGTTTATGGACATAAAAAATGAAGTAAAATTTGTAGCTCAAGGCTGCCAAAGCCTACACACCGATTAGAGTTGAGAATCTCGTATATTTATAGAGTCTACGACACCATGACGTGGTAAAGGTCTCACCACGGCGTGGTGATAGGGCTTACTTCTTGAACACAAACAAAGAAACCAACACGAAAGTTTTTGGAATTTTTTGTTTTACTAAAGGGCACGAAGTATCTTATAAGGAGGCGCGACGCGTCTTTTGCTAATTTCCTGATTTTCTTCATTTTTCGTCTATTTCAGCTCCGTTTGCTTGCTTTTGCATCTCAGCTCTGATTTTACCTATCATGAAACATTTGAAAGCATATTAAGTATCATATATCTCTAAATATAACACTTTAGATTAATTTATTAAGATAATGGCCTAAAATATATAGTTAAATAAGGCTATATCAACAACATAACTTTCACGCATGTCAAAAAATATCTTTTGTACTACTATATTTCAAATGTATTTAATAAATTTTGAGTTAGCCAAAGATTTTTAAAGGGAGGTTGGAAAACCTTTTACTTAACTCGATAATGTCGATCAATATGGAGATGGTGAAATTGTATTGAAACCGAAGGGGGTTGTCTTTTTAGGAAGAAACAGAACAATGTTCAGAAGAAGTTCATGTTCTACACTGATTTGAAGGAGAAATATTGGTGTCAACAGATCAACAATGTTTTGGTGAGAATGAGAAATTGTACTAAGAACTTAGAAGGAGATACACAAGAAATAAGGATCATTCTTCAATGATCTCTGAGCTCAAAGTGAAGATTTTCTTATTCAATACAAAGGGGGAGAATGTAGAAGATATGTTGTTTTGAAATGTCGAAGACATAGTCTCTAGATTTTGTATGTTATATTCGTATAGAAGAGTTGTACTCTATACCAAAGGTTACACACCTTCGGTATATCTTTTTATTTCGGTGTGCACATTTTCTATGTACCTTGATGTCGAAGGCACACTGTACATATTTTGTTGTTTGTCGATAACACTATCTCCTATAAGTAGTGTTGTAGTCTTAAGTATTAGGTATGCAAGTTCATTCATCACATACTTATACATGAGATTGCTTCCATACATAATAGATTTGAAACAAAATTATTTACTTTGTGTGTTCATTTCTTTATTGATTTTAATACTTCATTGAATCCTATTCTCATCACATGTGATATTAAATTTAAAAACCTATTTGTTACTTTTTCTAAGATTGTCATTTTGCCCGTGTTTTCACCATTTTTTTGGTTTTCTTAATCTTAAAGATGTTTTTTTTTTATTTTAATGTTATATGATCTTAAAGACCTTACCCTTGTAATCCTAGTTATGAAACCCAACCACTGTTTTACGACAACCACCGTTACAAGTATTCTGTTTTTCCGGCGACAAAAATGTCTTTGGCCAATGACATCGTAATTTAACATTGTCATTTTCTATACTATACATCTCAATGTTAAAAACCAAAAAATAAAATGGATTCACATAGATGATCCTAAAGAAAAATTAAAATTTAAAAAATTTACATATTTTCTTTTGTTTACCAATTTTAACATATTCAAAAGCTAATGACAATAAATGTTATGAAGTAAACCATGAGGCTAAAGAATCCACACATCTAACTTAATCAAGAAATCAACTTAAACAAAACCACCTAATCATTGTTCCCTCTTTAATAACCTCACTAGATTTTCGGTCTCTTTTTTTCTCAACAGAAACTCAAAAACTACTCTAACCAAGTGACGACAAAATATGCAATTCTCATAGACTGTCAGGACCTTCATGCAACAAAAGGTTATCTTTAACCTTCGTCTCACTATCAATACATCTTGTCAATGTACGTTTCACCCCAAACCCTCTTCGTGACATATTGTTGTAGTTTATGTGCAAGTACGGAGTTTGGACTGCCGTTGCTAGAGCTACGACGGGTCCAAGGAAAACTTCGGATTAATGAAAGCCAATTTCTATGAAGTTCTTAATGACGTTATAAGCAGAATCAAGGATCAAGAGTACAAGGATGAGAGAGGATTAGAGGAATCGACCAGAGGTTTGGGTTAAGGTTAGAGTTAGGTTTTGATAGAGGTTTGGGAGCTAGAGTTTTGACTATATATCCATCGGAGAAAGAGGATCAGAGGTTGGGGAACAACAAAGGTATGTGGATGCGGTAGAGTGGAGGGAGAGTGATGTTAGGGGTAGAAATCCTTTTAGGTTTGTATTCTAATTATTTTATAGAAATGGTCCCTTATGGTATAAAAAATGTCAAAGTACAATTAAAAATATGAATATTGGCATAAATGTCATTTTACATGCATTTAACGGAACATATCAGACACAAACAACCTCATAGACCTCATGTACAATTTTTATAAAGTAAAGGATAAACCATGCCTTAAATTTTAAAAATGAACTAAAACTATAAATATATGTACCATAGGAACGAAAACTATAATTTAATTTATTATTATTATTTTTTTTTGGTAAAAGATAGAAACAGACAAGAATTGTAAAGCATGTCAGAAAAATAGTTAACTTGTTCAATCTTGTCAAGCATTTAAAACACCAGGCATTATATATCATCAGAGAACTCTCTCTATACATTACACAAAAATAGACCACTAGTTTTCCGTGTCTAATTTCCACCTTTCAATATCTTTGAGTTCGTGTGTCTTCAAACCCACCCCGCCCCACTCACCAACCCCACCAACATTATGTGTATATCATATTGAATTATTTTAAGTCCCTTTTTTTATTCTGTAAAAAACGTTCTGTATATATCGTTTCGCCGTGTACAAGTTGGTGCCACAACATTTTCAATAGTCAGTCAGACATATTGCGGATGAGAAATAAATGTTAAAACCATATCGATAAGAAATATAGTTGTTTTCTATTCGGATATAATAAAATTGTTCAATTTTGTGGACTTTGTAATTTGCTGTTTAAATTGATCTGAACAAATTGAATTTTTATAGGAATTTCCGTTGGTAGTGGCTACTAAAATATAAAAGTATGTAAGAAAACCAAACCCAAAGTTAAAACCGAAAAACCAAACTATTGACGCTTTATACGTTGTGGTAGTTTTTAAACTAAATAATTAGGTTTAGATTGAAGTTGTTATTTGTCTTATACAGAAACAAAATAACAAATTCAAACAGAAATTTATAAATCGACTGTATTTTTTTTTTCTAATTTAATACTTATCACTAGTATATAACTCATTTAATAGTGCGATGCCATTTTATTTTCTGGTGCGGATTTGTTAAAAAACCCCATTATTAAATATACATCGCATAAAAAATAACCAAAAACCGCACCAAATAATCGATTTGTTGGGATGGTTATGTAGAAATCACATTAAATGTTTTTACAAAGTTATTTTTTGGTGCTATATATCTAAACCGCACCATTAAAATAGATTTATAGGTGCGTTTAGATCAAAAACCGCACCATTAAAGCAAATGAATTCCCTTCTAATATTTTGTTTCCCGGGCGATGTCTTTCCTTCCAAAATTTTCATTGCCCGCGTTATGCATTTCTCTCTAATGGGATGCTATTTCTTAACCTAATTTCATTTGACAACATCATCGACTCCTGCCGTCATGACCACCATCGTTGAGTCCTGTCACCCTCATCCCCATCAACTCTGATTCCGGCCAACCCCACCCTCCATCGTTGTCGATTCACAGCTTCAGGTGAACAACATGGTGAATCTGATTTCTCTTTGAGGCATCGACCTCCACTATTATCTTCTTTGTTGTCCATCGCCATCAACGCACCACCAAGACTCTAAGGTATGTGTGTCTGATATTCTGTTTTAGCAATTTTGATTCATAAAATTTTCTTAAGTTATGTCTGATACTCTGATTTCTTAAGTTAGGGTTTCAACTAATAACTTTTAATTGATTAATGTTAATTTAGATCGCTCCTTATGAAACGTTGGGTGCAAAAAATGTCAAGGCCACAATTAATGTGCAGCTTAACACCTGAAATTGTTGAAAGAGAATCTGCATTAGTAAGTGTTATTTTTTGCCTAATTTTCTCAAATGTTGTTGAAAGTATAATGATATCTTTTTCTTTTGTGTTTGTTGCCATAGTTTTTAGAAGTTATGATGAGAGTGGCTAACTGGTTGATCATACACCTGCTGGTTCTAGCATGTTAACTGCAAATCATGTAAGTTAAAATTTTGAATTTTTTTCTAGTTTTTTGGTGAAACTTTGTATATGTACAAGTTGGATAAGTCATGGCAAACCATTGTTTCACCATGCAGACTATGGTAGCATAAAAAAGCAGAAGTTTGAAGTATCCTCACAATGATAGATGAGCTATGTAAAGCTCAAAAGAGAGCACGAATGTTTAAAGAAGATATAAATGTGGTTCTAGCATTTAATTGGGGGGTTCCTTTATATGATTTAATGATGCGGTTCTAGCATTTAATGGGGCGGTTGTCAAGCTTTTTTATGAAAAAATCATTTGTTTCTTGGTGCGGTTGTGGTCATTTTTTGGGACGGTTTTATAACCGCACCATTAAATAAGGTGTTTTTTGTTGCGATATTTATTGGTGCTGCTTAATAACCGCATCAATACATCATTTTAACCGCATCAACAAAAGTTTTTTGTTTTAGTGTATAGTTTTCTGTTTTAAATAGAATTACGTACTTAATCATTGATCAATAGAGAGGACCTTATGGAACATCATTAGGCAAACAACATGTTTGTATACACAAACGCCTTTCGTTCTTGTGATATCGATTTCTTACATTTTCGTTTTTGTGATTTGGTATGTAAAACCAAAATATAGTATAGGACATTATTGCTTAAAGCCTTCTAGCACACCTCGAAATGAGGATGTGAAATGAGCTGTCAAAGGGCAATCACTTTCATGAACTGCATAGTATGTGCACCGACCCCGCTTCGGGTATGAAAACCACTCCCTGTCCATGTGCCGTTATGAATTAAAACATTGGAATCTTTGCCCTGTTAGGGACGGGTACCTCCAGGTAGTTAATTTGTGGGTCAAATTTTCATCCCCAAAACTAACAATCGGACCTAACAATGGGCAGTGATGTTGAAAATAAAAATAAAGTGGATTGCGTGATATCTAATATTTTACCAAAGAATTATAGTGAAGAATAAATAACGTTGTGTATTTCTTTTCATATTAGTTAATTTACTTTTTGAATAACAATTGTTGTGTTTGATTGTATTTTTAGTTCAGACAATATACAGTATTTATTTACATTTTTTATTTGGAATATGTTGATAAATATGTTGACGAGTTTTGAGTTTTTCAAATTCTATTAGCTTGAGTAACTAAACACAATTAAAAATACAATAGGACTAAAAACCAAAGAAAATTGAAAATTGAAAACCGAAAACCGAAAACAAAAGCCACTATCGGATCTAGAAACAAAAACAATAATTTTTCAAAATTGAAAAAGAAAATTTATGGTTTGGTTTTGGATTTAAGAAAAAATAAGACTATATATCCATCTATTATATATAACATTAAAAGACGTTAGGCTTATGACTAGTAACCGGCTGAGGTTATTGTTCATCGGTTTGTGGCTTATGTTTGAAGCTGATCGATTTTGGCCTCTGCAGTCCATAGTTCCTCTTCTTTGTCGCCATTTGTTATTGACCGTCATTATCTTCCAATCAGAGATTGCAGCGCTCTCCCCTCTCTTTTTTTATATCAAACACAAATCCTCTAAAAATGTGAATCCTCGCACTCGTCGACACATGTGGAGAAGAAGACTAGGGAAGCGTCGCATTTTTTAAACCTTTAAGACCCGAAATTACAACGGCTTTTTGAGGGTATTTTCATGTTGACTTCATCCTAAGGTTCTCTGATGCAGACAAATTTACCACCGTCTCAATTGAAGCGATTGTTGAAGTCTCTATATCATCCTAAGGTGTGTTTATTTCTTCGCTTTTATTGAAATCAACTGACATATTTAGGGTTTTGTGGTTGATGGTCAGATTCTTTGCAAGCGCATGGTGGGAGGTTTAGGTGAGTTCCGAGGAAGAGTTACACAAAGCTAATGAACAATGGAAAACAATACGTTTCAAAGAGAATTAAGCGAACTCAAAAGTTTTATCTTTTCAACAGAAAGGTATGTACATTTTTGGTTCCTTGCCTTGATTTTCGAGTATCTATATGTATAACACCATCATGTGTTATTTGATTTCAATACCATATATTAATTTGAACGTGTTGTAAGGTCACACACTAATAACTTTATTCAATTTGTAGATGAATCAGCCAAAAAAGGAAACGGAAATGAATTACACATCCATGGAGTAAGTCGCCTTCGCATCCTTTTCTATATGCATATACCTTATGAAGCAACGTTTGTGGCTAATGTTGTTGATGCTTTATATTCCCTTTCTTAATAACAAATAAACACAAAGCCCCGGAATTTGGAGAGCTAAATCTATGCTTCGTACCTGGAAAATCTATTTTTCCTGTCCTCTCTTAAGTTTGAAATTGTGTCTTTAGATATTGGGAAACATAATAACATAATCACTTCCAGTCATGGGTGTTACCTTATTACCTTAGTCATGGGTGTTACCTTATTACCTTACCGATATTTGTGATTTACCAATTCTTACATGTGACTTAAAATTTGAAGTACATGATTAAAAGAGCATGATTGGAATCTATTTTTTTGGGTAATACCCCTTCCTACAATTGTCAAACTACTGTTAACTATCCTCTCGTCATTTTTCTTTTTCTTTTCTACATAAAGGGCGTTTGGTTTATAAAGGTCAAAATGGCTTGTTGGTTTTGCTTACTCAGAAAGGTTTACTTATAGAGACTGACATCTACAGCTCTGCAAAAGATTAGGAAAGCTAGGCGAGTCAGATGTCGATTGTCAATGAAATATGTCTACAACTGCTCCATTGTCGTTTCATGATTTCAATTTTGGGGTTAATTGTTTCAAAGAAAACTTAGAGCTTTATGATATGAAAGCCTTCTTTAAGGGTAGATATTTGACATTTGCAAAAAAGACAACCTAGTGTAATTTTGTTGTGTGTGCTTCGATGTGAATAAGGTTTCTTGTGGGTATTTGTAGGGATCCCAAATGATGAGTTATGATCGGTTGAAGTGGAGTGGAAGTCATGAAAGATTTTGGAAGAAGGTTAAACTATGCACATATCTACAATGGTTTGGTTTAATATCTATGTATTTTGATTAAAATTTTCTAACGCCCCGGTTTTCAGGCATTTTCAAATTCATCTCTTAATTTTAAAGTGTGTCATTTTGGTCCTTGTTTTGGGAGGAAGTGGTCGCAAGAAGCCCTAGTGGCAGAATGGTAATTTTGGGAGAAGGTGTAGTACGCTAAGCGTACATGTGAGTACGCTAAGCGTACTAGGGGTAGTACGCTAGGTGTACACATATGTAAGTTGGGCGTGCTCTTGTCCGAACGAAACCCTAAGTGTTAGGGTGTGTGGGGTATCTAAGCACCTTTATGGATCTTTTAGCCTCATCTTTTCAGCCTCCAAGCCCTTGAGTTGTTTTTAGCAAACCCTAACCCCATAAGAGGGTGTCTTGAGCTAATAGTGTGTTCTTTGTGTGCTTAATGAAGAAGGAGTTGCATCCAGGAGATTAGTAGTTGAAGCAAGCTTTTGGATCTTGCATCACTACCTTCTTGGGAAGCTCTAGAAGGTAAAAAGTTGTTACCTTTATGCTTTGTTTGCTTGGATATCATTTTGGTAGCTTTATGATGTTCTTTTTGTCCCAAAAGTCCCATTGTTATGCATGTATGGTGTTGGTCGTTTTGGGCTGTCCTTTCAGACCTTATGATGGGATCTAAGCCATAAAAATGAGGTCCCTTTAGCTAGTTTGGCTCCATGCTTCTTGTTGATGGTCTTAATGGATTAAGCCATAAAAAAGCTTCTTGTTATCCATGCTTCTAAGCCATAAAAATTAGACTTTATGACCCTGGAGTGCATTTGGATCATGGATCTGATGTTTGGGCTTAAGTGCTTAAGCCATTAAGCACTTACGAAGAAATTGATTCTTGCGAGGGTACGCCCCGTGTAGGGAGGTGTACGCCCCGCATACCCAATCTCCTCCCCCGATGATGAATTCTGTGCAGCCTCGTGTACGCTAAGCGTACCTCCGGAGTACGCCTCGCGTATGCGATAGTTATGGGCCTCTTTGTTTTGGGCTTCGGTTTTGGACTCGGATTGTCTTGGGCCATGTTGGGCCACCTGGATTTTATGGTTTGGGATTTTGTTTTGATGGAACTTCTTGGGTGAAGGCTCACGAAAGGAATTGGGCCCAATTTTGAAAAGTGGGCCATGTTTGGGCCTTAGTTGTTTATTTTAGATTTTGGGCCTTTGGTCATCTAGTTTGGGCCTTAGCTTTGGGCCAAGCTTGAGAAGGGTAAAAAGGTCTTTTACACTAATTTGGATTTATAGCGTGAGTCACGGGTTGGATGTTGATGGGTTGTCCTTGTGGTATTTGATAGCGCGTGGATCATAGCGGGTCTGCAGTCAGAGATTATTCGTGGGACCAGCTGTGATGAGGTGTTGCCTTGATATTGGCGGGTCGGGGATCTGGCAGCTAGCAGTCAGGGATCATCTTTATGTTCTGCAGTGCGAGGTGAGTTTTCCTCACTGTACTTTCGGGTCGAAGGCACCAATGTCGGCCCACTAGTTTGATATCTTGTTATTAACTAATATGCTGAGTATGGAGTAGATCTGCATGATTATGATAGTTGCCGATATGTTAGTATGGTAGATCTGTAGGACTACCTATGATTCTGTCTGCATGATTATTTGTATATGTTGGTTATTTGTCAACATATTGTGTGGGTTGAGATTGTACTGCTTCGTGTTGTAGCCAACAAACCCTGGAGCATTCCAGATATGAGCTGAGGGCCGGGTAAGGCATGCGAGACTCATACTGAGGGTTCAGTAGCATTCCAGATACGAGGTGAGGACCCAGTTGGTATGCCAGACTCGTACTGAGGATTTGAGTGTATTGGATGAATCCAGATATGAGCTGAGGGCCGGGTAGGGCGTGCCAGACTTATACTGAGGGCTCAGTAGTATTCCAGATACGAGTTGTGGACCGGTTCGTATGCCAGACTAGTACTGATGGCTGAACATTGGTATTCTAGTCCGATGACCGATTGAGTTGGGAGCAAGCCAGACATAAGATAGGGGCCCTGGGGGCAAGCCAGACTTATGTTGTGGGCTAAAGAGCAAGCCAGATATGAGCTGTGGGCCGATAGGCAAGCCAAACTCATACTGTGGGATCAAGGGTAATCCAGTCTTTTAGCTGTGGACTCAATACATGCTGTTATTGTATATGCGCTATTTGTTTGTGTGTTGGTATTTTGGGGGAACTCACTAAGCTTCATGCTTACAATTTGTTTATGGTTTCAGGTTCTTGAGATGATTCGTGGCAAGGCGAAGGCGTGACGTACACATCCTCGGTTTTACAACGGATTGGATCTTTGGAGACTCTGATTTTAAATCATGTTTTGGAGATAATGTTTTTGTAAACACTCTTGTTAATAAATGGGTTGATTTGAAAGGTTTTAAATTTGTTGAAACTTTTGTGATGTTACAAGTTGGTATCAGACCCTTGGTTTGAGTGAATTGGAGGAACACTCGTGTGAATCCAGTCTCAAACTAACGAACACTCCTAGATTTATGAGATCGCTAATAACAAATTTAATTAGAAATGTTTGATCCCATATATGCCTCAAAACTCTCTTGCTTAGGTATCCTTTATCACAGAAGATTTTTGATCAAATCCTCTAATTTGAAAAACTTGTGTAATTGCCCTATAACTTGGTTATAGAAATCGCGAATACACCCCGACCATTAAAAGATAACACTAAGCGGTTAGGTATCCTTTGAAATGGTCTTTTAGTGTTTTATAGTTCTAGTTTAAAAAATATGATATCATGATAATTTCATGGATCCAGTTGATCATGGTATCATTTTTTTTCTTCGAAAAATCGCATTTGAGGTTCAAATATAAAATTCGGTTTTATATTTTGACGCGGTTCAATATTAATGATAATATCCAATATTAAGTTTGAGTTTGGTCCATATAGAACCTTATTTAGTACTTAATAAAACTTCCTTTTATTATTAATAGTTTGGAGTTTGAATAAGTTATAAAATCACAATTTTAGACTTATAATTTTAGAATATCAAAATTCTCCATTATGAACGTTTTAATAAAACCGCTTTTTTTTAAGTTAGAACTTGTTACATCTTTTTTTCTCATTTTGTAAATTGAAAACCAAGCTCCATGTGATGTTTATTTTGTCCAAAAAATAGTTTGAGTTTGTCAAAAGCTAAATTATCAACCACAAACTATTTACTTGAAAAATAAACAACACGAGCATGCTTTTACATAAAAAAGCCATGATCTAATTAATATTTTTGTGAGTCAATACAACAGTTTTAAGTCCTTCCTAAGGTACAAAGGGACCAAATATTACAACTTGTTCTTCATGTGATATTTAAGCTCCCACTGGCAATGACAACCAACTTTGTTTCAATTTAATAATATTTCTATAAAATTTATGAACTTTTATTAAAGGCTAATAAACCCATGATCATGGCTTCATCTTAAAAAAAAGTCCTTCGTATTCATCTTGTTATATATTTTATAAAATAAATCTAGTCTATACCTAATCTATTACATATAACAGCCCAAATTTCCATGAGCAACTTGTAACAACCCAAATTTCCATGAGCAACTTGTAACAACCCAAATTTCCAATAAAATTTTTTATTTTTAAGTAACGAAATCATTTCCATAAAATATAAAATTCCAATCACATTTGTTTTCAAACTCCATAACATCAAACAATTTATTCATAATATCAGAGTGTCCTTAATAAAACACCAGAGAATACATGTCGTGCCATCACGCCGGACTCTTGCCCTTAGATCTCGTAGTACCTAAAACAACCAACAAACTGTAAGCTAATGCTTAGTGAGTTCCCCATAACATACCCCACACAATCCGCATAATCATATAACCATATCAACCATACACTCCATGCATATAAACATATACGGATGCCGTGGGCTCCCCCCAGGGTCTTACACCTATGTGTCATGGGCACCCCCATGGTCTTACGTGGAATGCCATGGGCACCCCACATGGTCTTATAACGTATTTACCTGGAATGCCATGGTCACCCCCACATGGTCTGACAACCAAGTTCCATGGGCACCCCCATGGTCTTTACTTGGAATGCCATGGGCACCCCCACATGGTCTGACATCCAAGTGCCACGAGCTCCCCCCGGGGTCTTCCATGCAAGCATCACAAGACAACTAGCATATCACGTACCACATAATCAACTAGCATACCACATAACGTAATGGGTCGGCCTTGGTGCCATCGAGCCATTGGTATGGTGGGGAAACTCACCTCAAATGCAAACTGTAGCTGAGTAGGTCCAAACTCTGAGTATCGGCTCTGCCACCTCCCTAATCATAAACAATTCCTTAGATACAACTTAACCCTTCAAACCCCTTAAAAGTCAACCCTAGTCAAGGTCCAGGTCAAAGTCAACGCTCCGAGTTGACCTAACTCGTCGAGTCCACCCCAAAGTCAGAATCACGATATCGCGACCGAACTCGTCAAGTTTTCCTATAGCTTGTCGAGTTTCTCCGTTTTCCAATAGAATCGGGGTAAGCCCAACTCAACTCGTCGAGTTCCCCTGTGAACTCGTCGAGTTCTTCATTCTGTCAACCCACTTAATGCATTAAGCCCCTTTCTTTTGAATCCAAAGGTTCCAAACTTCATATCCCCATCCCTAGAGATGTCTAGAAGGGTAAAGTTTCCATTTTTACCCTCAAGGTTCACCCAATAAGCTCTAAACCCAAACCCTAGTTCCTTTAAGGAAGGTCTTGACTCATTAAGCCCTCAAACCCTTACTACAACGCTCCAAATTACAGATCTTGTGTCCAAGGGTGGAAAAAGCACGTAAAGTTTCTAACTTTATGTCCATGCATGCTTGAAACACACTCCAAGGTCCACATTAGGCTTAAAAATGAACATATTGCATGAATGGGACATGGAGGCTATTTAAGTTTGCAACTTTAATCCTCTAGAGGTCTTATAGAGGCCATATCTACACCTTCAACCTTGAAACCACTTTTCTCTGGACATCCAAACCAAAGTCCCAAAACCAAGCCCAAAACTACAAAAGATGAGATCTATTAAGCTACATGTCATGGTTATGACTTTATACCTCTGAGATGTTTCCTTTGATGTGGAGTTTCTGGATCCAAGTTCACTCATCCAAGCTTGATACTTCTCTCTTCAAAACGTCCTTCAAAGATCTTCAACAATCACTCAAACACTTACAAAACTCAATGAACAAGGAGGAAGGCGATTCTAGGGTTTTCTCTAGACAAGGAGGCTGGTAAGGAGGCCATCCCTAGGAGTTAAGTCCTTTAAATAGGGTGCAATACCCAAAAAATTAGGGTTTTCCTTTCCAGTGCCAACTCGTCGAGTAGGTCCTCCAATCTACGTGACTGGAAAGCTTTCTACTCGTCGAGTTGGAGCCTCCCAACTCGTCGAGTTCCTTCCAATATTTAAAAATAATTAGAATTAATTCATACCTGGACCAAGCGTTAGAAATAACAAGAATAAAAACTAGCTACTTTTATTATATACTTTATTAATAAAAGAATATTACAAACCATTTTCAACCAAAAAACAAAAAGAACAATACAAATGGTCCAAGTCTTGTTTATGCACTCTAAAATACATATAAACATGAAACAACCTTTGTTTTTCTATGACAACTTTAAGTGACAAAAAATGCATGTAAATTTTTGTCACATAAAATAACAATTAAGAAGTTGTCAAAGAAAATAGGTATGACTTATTTTTATACAATAACAAGTTATCCATATTCTCTAAAAAGTAAGATTTATAATAATCATAAAATCTAACCAAACATGCAAGGTAGCTCTTGATACCAATTAAAAATAGTTTCAACAACTCATAAAATAGCAAATGGAAGACTTCAAATTTTCGAACATAATAAGCTAGTTACAACCCAAAAGGATCATCATGCAAGTTGTAGAAAGATTAAAATACCAACCATATAAAGGATGAAAATATAACAACCTTTATAGTTATTTTGGTCCTCTTGTGAGGCTTGGAAGTTGATGAAGAATGTGGAACTTTTGAGACACCAAAAAGAACTCAACTTGATGTAGATGTTAGTCCATAAACTCTTAATCTCATAAGCTTTATGTTCTTATCAAAATAAGAATTTAAAGTGAGAAAAGGAGACGCAAGTAAACTCCTCATAAGATGAACAAAAGAGAGAATCCTAACATCCTCTAGGATGTTACAGTTTTAGGTGTAAGGAAGAGGCAAGATGAAAGCCCTACATAAAGCACATCTATTACACATAAGTCCTTAACTCATTAGGTACTCCATGCACCTAAAGGCTAAGTTTTCCCCATGCTTGAAAGCCATGCCTTCTTTCATTTAAAATAATCATAAGACCATGCTTTCTTTTATCTTATTAATTTTTGAAAATTAATAATAAAAAGAAGATGAGTTTCTTAAATTTTATAAACTAGTTTAAAAAATATAAAATTGAACTTTTTAGTAAAATATAAAAGGATTTACCTAGTCCCAAATGTTGTGCATGAATTTTAAATCATAGAATATATATATATATATATATATATATATATATATATATATATATATATATATATATATATATATATATATATATATATATTACTTGCTAATGAAAATGTAACATCCCGACAATGAGGTATTTCCAAAATTAACTCTTAAGTTAGAAGGTTTATGATATTTAGCCCTTGGGTATGAGAAAGCTTGCAAAATGAACCATAGTGGCATTTTTGTAAATCTGAGCCAAGACCTAGTATGCTGGGTGTACGTTGTGTATGTTGGGCATACGTATGCGGGTCCTAGTACGCTTGGCATACACAGTGTACGCAGGGCGTAGATGATGAATCCTCAAACCCTAATTTTTAAGGTTTGGTCCTTATATAAACATCATTAACTCCTCATTTCTCATTCCCTCTTCATCCATCTAGAACCCTAATCCACATTGAGAGTGTTCTTGAGCTTTTCTGGGTACTTTTGTTGATTAAGAATGAAGGAGAAGAAGAGAGGACCACCTTGGAAGAGTGAAGCACCTTAGATCATGAATCTTACCCCGTTTTGGCATCATTTTAAGGTAAAAAGCTCTGAACTTGTTGATGATTTATTTAAGATCTGGTTAGCCTTGAAGTTATGAACATTTTGGTCCCATTAGCTTGGCATTTTGAGTATGGGTTACCCTAAGTCATTTGAGCCTTCCTTTTAGACATTTCAGTGTGTTTTTGTGCATAAAATATGATCTTGAGTTTTGTATGTAATCCATGCATGAGTTAGATGATCTAATTGGGTTAAGAACTTAGGGTTTTGGCCATTAAGCACTTAATAGCAATGCAAAGTCATAAAGTTGGAAATTTATGACTTAGGACATCATTTTGGGCTTGGATCTGAGTTATGGACGT